GCCAGTTGGACTCCTGGAGACCTGGGCTAATGTTTGTGTGTGAGTGCAGTGGTCTAACGCTCTACGGTCCAGCCCGACATGGTATTTTAACCCTTTAAGAACTTAAAAAAACTAAAAGAGCAGCATTTTTATTACTGTATTTGCAGTCTGGCTGTATTACAGTGATAAACAGCGAGGGTTCAATTTAAGGACCTAAATGTGATCAGTCCTGCTAGACGGACAGATTGTTAGAAGAGGCAGAGCTATAAATACTTTCATACTTTACATTCAGCTTTATGAGTCACAATGGCAGCTGCTCCATAAAATCCCGATTCAACATAGCTGGATGCTATTAAAGTACACCTAACACTGCTACTATGTCTACATGTACCTTTGCACAGTATCTTGACGACAGTAAAGAACCATAAAATCATGTCCACTAATAAGCAAATTCTAATTTGTGCCAGGGAAGTAGAAGAGAGTACCCCGATCCCCCCTCCGCCAACTCCCTATTGTTTACTAAAGCAACACCTTATGTTAAAGATCAGCAGAGAGTAGAAGAGAGCAAACAAGCTCTCAATGTTCTTGACAAAAGACCAGATTTGTATATTAGTGTTCTTCACACACTGTATAAAGGTCCATGCATGTTTTTGATTAACGCAGTCCATTTAGCTTAGCCTTTAGGACACACAGAGCACAGACCACCACTCCAATCTATTCAAACCTACCCCGGAATTCAACCTTAACCTAATTACATTTACTTTGCTAAAGCTTTGTGAAAATCTTGTTGCGGTGGATTGCAGTAAACATTCTGAACTGATCCGAGCTCAACTCAGGAGTTAAATCTTAAAAATACATTCAAGTACCTTACCTATTAACAATACTGAACCTTATTTGTCCATCACTAAGCTGTAGATCCTTAAATTATCTCTGTGTTGGTACTGACACTGTCCTTCGTTCTGGAGGGGGGCTACTTTTGTTCCCCATGGTCCCTGTGTGTGTTGTAAAGTAGCCACCACTCCAGAAAGGAAGGACAGTGTCAGTATGACTGTATAGATGATTTAAGGAGCTACAGTGATACCCAAAAAAGTAAAATTTTGGTTAACAGTAAGGGTACTTGAATTTATTTTTAAGGTTTAAATCTTGAGTTCAGTGTCACATGAAATGACTTTTATGTACGTAGATAAATTTCATTTATTCGCTGAAATCACAATCATTTCAGATGCTACTAACCACCTTCAGATCGGACGATTCCCTTCATACCAGACTAGTAGGCATGCTACAATTTGTTGGCTTCCCAACACCTAGAAAACCATGGCTTACCCTTTCCTGAATGTTGCACTGCATGATACAAAGAGGAAAGAAACGACGAAGAAACATGAAAAGGACAGCTGTACTATCAAAGTGAAAATATATACATGAAAAGGACAGTGTTTTCAGCCATCATTATCATGAACTAGAATCCGGCACGCCATCAAAGACAGAACTAAGCGCCTGAATAGTTGTGTAATAGTTTTCTTCACTTTTGACAACTCTGGCTCCCTCCTCTTTACTTTTAAGTCCAAATATAAAAGACTTGTAACAGGTCGCGAGAGCATATCTGCATTAATTTCCCCCTGTTGCAAGTTTTAATGAGACCATTTCTCAGTCACTGCACACGGCTGCAACGACACATTTGTACTGACAATGCAGAGAACTTCTGCAGCCTCTTGTCAAATCAAAGGGATCGCCTTGCATAACAACCCCTTTCTGTCACTTCCCATGTTCAGGTGCTCATCATCAAAGTCTACGAGGCAACTGGGTAGAGAGGTGTTATGCTGGTAAGCTAATTATTTTCTCCGCTGCACAAAATGGCAAAAGGTGAGCTGTGCATACTAAAAAAAAAGCATGCCCTTTCTTCTAAGGTGCATGCGACTCTCCGGAAAACGGTGGGGGGAAAGAAATCTATAAAACAAAGAATAGTAATTAAAGCTGAACTCCAGGCAGATAAAAGAAGACACAAATAAATGCCGCTTTGCAATCATTGGTAGGGATGCACCGATACCAGCTTTCTGGCATCGGGTACGAGTAGCAGTATTTTTGTTTTTTTTCTTGTGCCCCGTTTATCAGGAAGTCAAGCGGCGGATAATGACCCGTCGCCTGGCTTCCTGATTGCCTGTGAAGCCGGTGTTCTATCGAAAGAACACCGGGTTCAGAGGCTGCCTGACCAATCAGCAAGTCATGAGGTGCTGTCCAGCTTCTTGATTGGTCAGGAAGCTAGGCTGCAGGGCAACAAGTAAAGTTGGCTTCCTAGCCAAGCAGGAAGCCGGGCAACACATGACCCGCCTCCCGATTGGCTAGGAAGCCGGCTTCACTTGTTCCTAGGCAGCCTGGCTTCCTGACCAATCAGGAACCCGGAAGGTGGACCATTATGTGCTGTCTGGCTTCCTGATTGGTTAGGAAGCCAGGCTGTTTAGCAACACCTGAAGCCGGTTACCTAGCCAATCAGAAAGCCGGGAGATGTGTCATTACCCACCGCCCGGCTTCCTAATTGCAAAGGAAGCCAGCTCCATGCTCCCTCGGCACTGCCAGACAGAGGGACATTTCCCTCTGAACGGAAGTTCCAGTATCGGAGCATTTGGGCAAGTACTTGCCCAAATATTCTGTATCGGTACATCCCTAATTAATACATTATTAAATGTATGAAAGTGAGTGAGTGACAGAGAGATTAGCTCTTCACTGTGCTTCTTCTCCTATCACTGTCCATTCACAGGCTGGGACGAATCTAGGACAACCTTGGCTCAGAGGAAGTGGGTTGAATGAAGCTGGAGTTCAGCATATGGCAGAAAAAAAGTAGAAAGCACTGTGGGGGAAATCTCTTGATTAAAGCTATATATAGCAGCAAAGGCTGGTTTGTTATTTTATCTTTTATTGGGCTATTTATTTGTATCATGTTATTTGTGGCCGGAATCCTGCTTTAAAGCCTGCCTCCCAACAAAACCGTTTTTGATTATTTGTGGATAGAGTGGGGAAGGGTTAGAACCTCTATCAGGTTTGTTTTTCTGTTTTCTGCATCCATGCTGGGGAGATCACATTCCTAAGCCAGTTACATCCAGTTTGTTCAAGTGCAGAAAGGTGCCACCAAGACATGAAGTGAAAGGAAAAACTTCCCAACAAGGATGCAGACTGAAATAAAAACTTGTTTTCTGTTCAAATTGTTCTCTGATCCTTCCAAAAGAAATCGTTTCCTGTCCAGCCTCAGTGTTCCCTGGAAAGAATTCACAGGCTGATAACTGATTTCAGTTGCTGCACTTTAAATAGGTTCCCTCGTTAAATATGTGCTGCAATGAAGAACCCACTAGTTCTAAATATATAACAAACATGAAGACTAACCCTCCCTTCCCAGGAAGTACTTGCTGCTTCAGTGCAAGCAAACCACCAGGAACATCGGCACTCTCTTACCTCGAGGCAGCTGCATTCTGCAGCTACGTACACTGAGAGAAGCACCAACGTCGGCATATGGCCAGTAGCTGAAGAATATCAGTTTTCACTGCCAGTGCTAGTGCAAGTATGCTCCTTCACAGCAGATCCCTTAACGTGAACACATGGAAAGCCATTTATATATTTTCCTAACAGAGACTAAGGTTTAACACAAACCCTCACTGACCTCTGTAGCTGCAGCCACTGTAGAAAAATAATTCTCAAAGTGCAAAACAGAAGTACTCACTGAAGTCATTTACAGTAAGTCAGTCACTTATCAACTCAGCTCACCCTCCCAGCAGCTCAAGTCTCCCTGCTTCTTCCTTCCAGGCTTCGCCCAGGCAGCTCAGCTTCGCCTCCTTTGCTGTTCCAGCAGGGACTTAGCAGCTTAGCTCCCCCTTCTTCACTGTGCCAGCAGTGACTGAGTATCCAAGCTCCCCCTTCTCCCCTCTCCTAGGGGTAACTCAGCTTCTCCTGCCCCCCCCCCTCCTAGGAGTAACTCAGTATCTCAGCTCCCCCTCCAAGGAGTAACTTAGCATCTCAGCTTCTCCTCCCTCCTAGGAGTAACTCAGCATCTCACCTTCTCTTGCTCCCCCCTCCTAGGAGTACCTCAGCATCCCAGCTTACGTTGCTCTCCCCTCATTGGAGTAACTCTGTGGGGGTGATTTACTAACCTAAACACACGCACGCACCAGGTGCGTGTGATTTTCACACAGCAAAACGTATTTATCAACCAAAAAGTCTCTAAAAGCATATTTCCACTAATGCCATATATGGAAAAATCATGCACATGATGCATATATAATGCTGCTTCACAGTTTAGACAAAAATGGTTAGCTCATGCATTTACATTCCTGCATTCATCAACACAAGCAACACAACATAGAGCTAATTTACACAACATCACCTTGCAATTCATGCTTGGCTTTGCACAGCACACCTGCTGGGTGTGTACACATTACAAAGGTGTTTAGATTCCACCCATAGATCATGCTGGGAGGGAACACACTACAGAGGTGTATACATGTTCATGGTGTGTTTATAAGGTTAGTAAATCAACCCCAGTATCTCAGCTTCTCCTCCTAGGAGTAACTCAGCATCTCAGCTTCTCTTGCTCCCCCTTCCTAGGAGTAACTCAGCATCCCAGCTTCCCCTGCTCTCCCCTCATTGGAGTAACTCAGTATCTCCTCCTAAGAGTAACTCAGCATCTCAGCTTCTCTTGCTCCCCCTCCTAGGAGTAACTCAGTATCTCAGCTGCCCTTACTCCCCCCTCCTGGCAGTGATTTAGAAGCCTTCCATCCTTCTAATCTCTTATTTAAACATAGAGCAGGTGCTCTAGAAGAGAGGACCACAGTGAACTGAGCTTCTGAGAGGACTTAAAGGACTTCAGTGCATGTGCTGTGATTCTTGAGGATAAATTGCTTCACAGTGCCTTTAGCCACAGAGGTCAGTGAGGACTTGCTTTAACGTTCCTTTACTGCTTGTTAGGAACCTAAAAATAATTGCATGTCTATAGTCTGACCATATGTTTTTGTGTTTAAAAAAAAAAAAAAATCTTGTCTAAAAACTGTCTACTGAACCGGCAGAGATAAAAATGTTAACTGTCAGGGATTCTTCTTCTAGAATTTACCTTTTAGTTTGTTATTTCTCGTCGCCCCATTTGTAATGGCCTTTTTAATTCTCTATTCTCACAAATGTCTACTAATTTCCCACTTTACAGAAGTAGCATGAAACAGACAGCTCATTATAGATAATAGTTGGTCAGGAGTTCCCAGGCGCAATACCAGATCTATGCTTTGTTATCCCTTAATATAAGACAAATTCCCCTCATGACTCTAGACAGGAATCAGCTCATTACCTGTTGCTGTTCTTACAGAACCCGATTCATTCAAAGGTCTGTATTTCTGCAGCTATGGCCAGTAAAGCTCCTAGAATTACGCTTCAAATCATTGTATTTTAACCATTAGGGGCTCTCTAATTATGAATGTGCATGCATTAGCTAACGCAGAGTTGCTTAAAGTGACAATAAATTTAGAC